CGGGGGACCTTCCTATTACAGAATGGTAGTGAAGTGGGGTGGAGCCATTGTGGAGGTCACAGTGACGGTTGAAGCCTTGAGAAACAACCAGAGGATTTCTGACATGATGGGGAGACAGTGGAGAGCCACTGCTGGGTTTGTAGCAGGACCTGGTCATGACTAAAGCAGAGATTAATCCTTAAAAGGACTGGCATAGAGATGCAGAAAATAGGAGATGGGACAGACACCAGCATCCCAGTTCCAGCAGGAAGCCCCACTCCAGCCTCAGGGAAGGAGGAAATGCCCCATTTTCCTCATCCAATTATTTAAAATTTCATTAATTTGTGATATTCTAAGTCTTCTTAATTTTTTTTTTAAAGGCCTGGGGAGGCAGATAATCTCAGATGGACAGCACAGTAAACAGCAGACCTCACTCAGTAACTGTGGACTGACAAGGGTGGTCACGGGAAAAGGATACTAAGCCGAGGGGGATGTTTTGAGGGAAGCAGGCCCTACAGGTGGGGCATGTGGACCAGGTGCAAACTGGGATCAGGTGAAGCACCACAGCAGGGCACACAGGCCCTCAGGCCCCGCCCAGCTTCCCAGCCACACTCCTGCTGCTCTGAGCCCAGCACCTGCACCCTGTGCTCCATCACCCACCACCATGAACCTCCATTCCTGAAAAGGCCACACTGTCTTGTGCCTCCGAACCTTTGCACATGCTGTATGTCTCTTTCTGCAGTGCCTCTCCTCCCGCTTCCCTAAATTCAAGTTCATCCTTTAAAAGCCAAAAGCCAACTCTTGCTGATTTGAGGATGACCCCAGGCAGAATTAGTCTAAGAGTCCCTTGGTGATGCTCCCCCTGAGGTGCCCGATCCCTCGCCCTGTCATAGGATAACCAGGAATCCCCTAGGCTTCTGGTAGCTCCAGTATCTTACTGGGCACTCAGACAGGGAGGGTTCTGACTGTCAGCGCAATGATGGTGCCCTGCAGGAACTTCAAAGGGCAGGCATCACCTTCTGAGGTTTGGAAATGCTGGCGGGACCTCCCAGGGGCATAGTCTGGGAAACAGCTTGTATTCGGCAGTAGGGAATGTGTCTTTTTTGGGAGTAGGATCCCAAAAAAGCACACAAGTGGTAAGGGGAGCAAGACTGGCTGAGGGGACTTCCCTGGTGGCGCAGTAGTTAAGAATCTGCCTGCCAATGCAGGGGACACGGGTTTGATCCCTGGTCCAGGAAGATCCCACATGCCATGAAGCAACTAAGCCCCTGCACCACAACTACTAAGCCTGCGCTCTAGAGCCCAAGAGTCACAACTACTGAAGCCTGCATGCCTAAAGCCCGTGCTCCACAACAAGAGAAGCCACCACAATGAGAAGCCTGCGCACCACAAGGAAGAGTAGCCCCCGCTCAGCACAGCTAGAGAAAGCCCACGCGCAGCAATGAAGACCCAACACAACCAAAAAAAAAAAGGTCTTTAAAGTCTGGCTGAGGGTGGGAGCAGACATCTGGGGGTGCCACTATCAAGGGAGGGAGCAGGCATCTGGGAGTGCCACAGTCAAGGGACAGAGGAGGATGCTAAGATGCGGTTGGAGGAGATGGGAAGAATCTTGGGGATGAGGTCAGAAAGGCCTAGTGAGGCAGTTTCAGAAGAAAGGGCCAAGTGCCAGATAACTAAGAGGAAACTGCAAAAGGAGGAAGGATTTCTTTCCCCTTGGTAAGCCACTTAGAAAACAGGCCTGACGAAGACAGTTACTGCTCTTTAGCCTGAGGGGCACTTGGGAATCTCGGGAGCTACCTGTGTTTCCCCATGGTTCTTTCTGGCCGCAAGGCATGTGGGATCTTAGTCCCTTGGCCAGGGATCAAACCCGAGCCCCCTGCAGTGGAAGCACAGAGTCTTAACCACTGGACTGCCGGGGAAGTCCTCCCCAATGCTCTTGTTACCTGTAGCTAGCCCTTCCCTAGTGCCCTGGCAGAGCCCAAGAGGGGCGAGTGTGGTCTCTGGGGATGGCCCCCACGTGGCAGTAGCAGCCTGAACTCAATCCCATTCCAGCCCCTTCCCTGTGCCCTGAGTAAGCTTGTGGCCAGCTCGTAACTCTGCAGCCCCAGCCCCTAGTCTGAAACAATGGGCTCCAGGGTTCTAGCGCTTGTACCGGAAGTCGTGGAAATCTTGAGTTGTATCATATGAACAAGGAACGTTACTAGCAGAAAACATATTCTGGGTGCAAGTCTCTACATCTCAAGTCACGCATCCCTAAAATATTGTAAATTAAATCAACTTTAAAGTTTTTCTGTTCACGCTCATTGATGACCTTTATCAGTTGGGGGAAGCAGATGCCAAAGGTTTCTTTTTTTCTAGAAAAGCTTTTAATGGTTGTTGCACTTTGGTGATAGGTACATGGGGGTTCATTATACTAGTCTCTCTATTTCTGTCTATGTCAGAACAGGTTCATAATTAAAAAAAAAGTCTTTTTAAATTTTAGTGGAAATTTTAAAATTGAGAAAATGTATCTATTATCTTACTTTTCCCTGTGAGTTGAGAAAAGACCTGCCTTTTTTATTGCAACTGAGAGCAGGCCTCCATACTGCTTCTTCAAGGGAGCACAGTTTGAGGATCACCAAATTTCTAGAAGCTTTTCAAGCGTAAAAGTCTTTCTATCTAGGGACTTCCCTGGTGGTCCAGTGGTTAACACTCTGCGCTCCCAGTGCAGGGGGCCCGGGTTCCATGCCTGGTCAGGGAACTAGAGCCCACGTGCCGCAACTAAAAGATCCCGCACACGCGCCAGCGAGGTCCCGATGCAGCCAAGTAAACAAATAAATGTTAAAGAAAAAAAAAGAAGTCTTTACATCTAGCCTCTGGCCCTAGGGCTAAGGGAGAGCGGAAATACAGGCCACTCACAACAAGGGGTTGAAAAGCAAAGCCCCTCCCACAGGCCACAGGGGAATAGCCCCAGGTCCTGAATGAATTTCCATCCCAAAGACCACGCTTAATGCTCAGAGTCAAGCCTCTCTTCTCCCAGACCTTGGACAGGCTGTCCCTTTTCCAGGCTCCTCCAGGAGAGAAATTTCTGCCTTCCTGGATCCCAAAGGAACTGGAAACAATCAAGTAGCCACCCCACCCTGTACTGAACTTTCTCTAGAGCAAGTTCTCACACAATGCAAACGGCATAACACCATCCTTTGCAGGCCTGGGGTAAAGACAAGTGAGAGTGAAGGTGAAAGGCCCCACGTGGTGGCAGTTCGCGTTTCCCTTCCCTTCCTGGTGCCGGTAGGTCAACGGGCTTCTCTCTACTAACCAGACATACAGGAGAGCAGCCCCACAATGGTGCTTCGTAAACTGGTTTCGCCCCTTGGTCTCCACGGCATCACCTCCCCTCGCTACTGAAGCCCTCCCTGGGCTGGCTTTCTCCCTCCCAACCCGCACAGAAGCCTCTCTAAAAGTCACCAGCTACCTCCAGATCGGCAGGTGCAAACAGCCTGTCTCAACTCAGCCTCCGCAGGGCTGGGCGGCCACTGCCTCTGGAAAACCTTCTCCTTTCTGAGACACGGCTCTTCCTCCCTCTTCTTCCTCCCAGGCCCCTTCTCAGTCCCCCTCTCCACGTGGCTCTAAGTGTCGGGTTTCTGTGCACAGAATCCAGAGACACTGTCTCTGCTTTCTCCTCCTGTTTCCTACATGAGCTCATCAGTGTTCGTGGACTTAAACGCCAGGTTCTGCTCCTGACGCCGTCTCATCTTTGATTTGCAGCCTGGACCTCCCTACGCTCCAGGCTCCAGGCACCTCAGCATCTCAGGCTAAACCCTTGATTCCCTCCCGTCCCAAACTCGTTCCTCCCCTAGTCTTCCCCACCTAAGGAAGTAGCACACCCATCACCCAGGCGTTCAGGCCAAACCCCTGGGAGTCGTGCTTCCATTCCCTCCCCTCCCCCACCCCGGCCATCCATCAGCAAGCCCTGCTGTTTCTATCTCTAAATCTCCGGATCTGTCCCTATCCGTCTCCATTGCTGCTCCTTTAATCCACATCAAATCACTCCCCTGCATAGAAACCTTCAATGGCTTCCCAGGACACAGCGTTAAACCAGCTTTCGGGGCAGCTTCCCCGGTGGCGGCGCAGTGGTTAAGAATCCACCTGCCAATGCAGGGGACATGGGTTCGAGTCCTGGTCCGGGAAGATCCCACATGCCGCGGAGCAACTAAGCCCATGCACCATAACTACTGAGCCTGCGCTCTAGAGCCCGCGAGCCACAACTACTGAGCCTGCGTGCTCCGCAACAAGAGAAGTCACCACAATGAGAAGGAGCCCGGGCACCGCAGCAAAGAGCAGCCCCCGCTCGCCGCAACTAGAGAAAGCCCGTGCAGCAACGCAGCCAAAAATAAATAAATAAATTTATAAAACAAACAAACAAACAAAAAAACAGCTTTCGGCCGGGACCTCAAGGCCCTGTATGACTGGACCCTGCTTACCGCCCAGCTTCATCGGACCCCACTTTCTCCCCTGCTCGGTTCACTCTGGGAGTATCGGTCTTTCACGTAGCCAAACAAGTCAGGGCCTCGCTTGTGCTATTTCCTCTGCCTAGAATGTTCTCCCCCACCCCACAACTCACAGAGCCAGCTCTTCTGTTACTTTAAGCCTGAACTTAAATGCCACCTCCTCCAAGAAGCCTGTCCTGACCACCCCACCTAAAGCAGGCCTCTGTTAACCTCTATTTCAACCCCTTGTTTACTTGTTTTCTGTCCATCTTCCCCATCAGAATGTCAGCTCCAAGAGGGCAGGAATTCTATACGCGCAAAGCCCAGGACACTGCCTGGTTACACGGTAAATGTCCAATAACATTTGTTGAAAGAACAAAGGACCCAGCCACTGCCTAGGGATCCAGCAGTGCCCTGTAAGTGCGAGAGGTTAACCTGAAGGGGAAACTGAGGCTCAGCCAGGGCCTGACAACAGCTGCAGACAGTGGCTGAAGCTAACTTCCGGTTTCCCAGTTCCGTGGGACAGGCTGGGGCCCAGGCCAGAAGGCACCTCACCTCCCTTTTCCAGCGTGCCAGCCACTCGTCCCGCTTGCGCTTGCTGATGTAGTAGGGGTCCCCCGCCTGGAAGGTGAGCCGCGGCATGGGCCGCTGGCGGAGGCTGGACTCCCAGCCCAGGCCACCCCGCAGCCGGCCCCGGGAGCCCTAGGACAGAGATGACAGAGACAGACCGGCATTAAGGTGAGCACGGACAGCCCCGCTGCAGGGTTTTTTCCTCCTGGAGGGGAAACCAAGGAGGCACTCACCTCGAGCAGAACACAGAGCTCTGACTCCTGGCCAGAGATGCCAGCCCTGCGAGTGCGGGCCAAGCCCCTGTCTGGGCTGGAGAAGTGAGGGATGTGGGGCAGGACATAAACTGGGAGGGGAGGTGCTTGGTCTTGAAGGGGGACCAGCTGGCTGCCTCGCTGGGGGCCTTCCAACCTCCACACCCACTTCCTCTGCTCCTCACAGAGGGACATGTAAAGAAGGGGCCAGGGGCCACCTTGGGCCCCTCACACACACTCGCCACAGTCGGTCAGAACGGTGGCTCTCTTCTCCTAGAATCAGGATCCACAGAGCCCCTGGGGGTTGAGGAAAACACTTGCCTCCATTTTCATGGATTCGATGTTGGTCTCCTTCTGTTCTTTGCCTGTGGAGAGGGAAGAACAAAGGGACTGTCGGCAGAGTTACAGGAGTGGCTCGGAGGCCTCACCTTGTGCCTGGGGTCCCTGCCACGGGGATAGGGCTTCTCCAACCGTTTAGTCATTCCTGTGTCAAACCTGATGGCCTACTGTGTGCCAGGCGTCATGCTGGCCCCAGGACTCAGAGCACAGCCAGGGCAGAAAAAGGACTGGGGCAGGGCTGGAGGCCCAAATCCGCAGGAACAACAGAAAAGCCAGCACTGTGGCTTCTGGCCCATTGAGTGCCTCAGGCACACAGAAGGGATCCGGAAATAGCCCCCTTGCCTGCTCCCAGTTGCGACACAGCTCCCTGCCCAGAGGAGGGGCCAGACTGCACAGCTCTCCCTGGCCCTGGAAGGGAGCACTGGCTTGTATGTGTGGGGTGCAGCAAAGATGCTCTGGGGGGGGGGGGGGGGCACAGGGAGACAGCAGCAAGACTCTGCTGAAACAACTTCGTCTCTCTGAGACTCAGTTTCCTCATCTGGAAAATAAAGATGCCGGAAATGGTTTCTAAGGTGCTCCTGAAGTTCTCAATATTGCGTTTCTGCCATGAATATCTGTTTCGGTCCCCCATTCTCCGCCCATTCTTAGGTCCCTGAGTTCAGCCTTTATTCTAGAAGCCTGGGATTCCAACTGTCTCCATGTGACCTCTGTAAGCTTTCCAGGCCTTTTCTTCACTGAATCAAGGTACATAACCCTTCTAATGCTTCCGGAAGGCAGCGTTTCCCTGCTCCTCTTCCCTGCAGTTCCTCAATGGGCCCTGATTCCAGTTCCTGGAAGGGAAGGCTCCCCTGGAGGCTGAAGCCCCAGCAGTACTGTCGTTAAGGGTCCGGGGCGGGGGGCACAGAATGTCCCTGCGCTCCTACCCTGGTACCTACCCACTCTCCTACCCCACCCAGCTCAGGGTCGTCACCTCTCAAATGCCCTTCCCGGGCCATCACATCCCGGAGTCTGCGGTCCTGGCCTGGCTGTAGGCTGGGTTAATTATGCCTCTGAGCTTCCTGCTGGAGGATGGGGCTGGGCTGGGGGGTGAGGAGAGTGGGAGGTGAGCCTCCTCTCACCTGGGCCCCAGAACTCCTTTGTCTGGAGCCAAGAGTACTGAGCTCGGGCCCAAAGCAGGAAGGTCACTGAGGCTGGCTCATGGTCGCTTGGGGGGGCGGGGAGGGGGGTGTGAAGGGGAGACAAAGAGCCCAAAACGGAAAAAACAGCCCCTCCTGCATCTCCTGGCTCTGAGGCGGAAACCAGCTACAGCACTGAAGGTCTCTGAATCCTCGGTCCCCGAAGAGGATGTTTCTTTCCCCCTCTCTCACTGGGGAAGACCCGGGGCTCTGCTCTGGGCTTTGGCGACCTGGAGCCTGGGGACGGGGAGGGCAGGGCCAGCACCTGCGGGCGAGTGGGAGGTGTGGACTCCGCGGTGCCAGCTGCCCCCAGGGGCGGGAGGAAGTGGGGGTCACGTGTACTCGCCAAGGCTGTGTACACAGCAGGCCTTTACGTCTCACCGGACTTTCTCTGTCTCCTCCTCGAGCTTCCTTTAGGCCCTCTTGTCTCACCACAGCCAGCTCCCCAACTTTTTCTCGGGCATCCTGGAGCCGGGCTTCCCCTCTTGCCCGCTCCGGGCCTCCCTCCTTCCCGGGGGTCGCCCCTCCTCTCAGATCCTCCGCGTTCTGCCCTAGTGAGGCTTTGGGCTGCCAGAAGGGGGCGCCCACCCTTGGATCAGGAGGCAGCCTGCTGCCCCCGGGACCTTCCTTCGGGGACCCTCCGTGGCATGTGGTTTACGGGGAATCATCTATTCATTAGAATGAAAGAAAGTCGGGGCTGAAGGAATTGTAGAGATGATGGGGTACTTGTCCAGCCCTTCGAAGGGGAAACTGAGGCCCCAGGAGCAGAGACGTACTGCCAGAGCTGAGATCAGATTTCAGAGCTCCTGACTCCCAAGCCGGCTAGCTTATTTCACACAGCACCACCCTGATGCCCCCCCTTCCTCATTCCCCAGCCCCCATGCTCCCCGAAACAGAATTTTTCCTCATGCGGTTTCCAACTGGCTTCTTTCTGGAATTTTCTCCCTGACATACTCTGCGCATGCCCACTTGAGTGATCTCTCTCTCTCTCTCTCTCTCTCTCTCTCTCTCTCTCTCTCACACACACACACACACACACACACACACACACACTTTCCAGCCCGTCCCAGCAAAACAACCAACTGGGCGGCCTTAGAATGCAGCACTTGTCCTGAGTCAAGGGGGGTCAGCAGCTCTCTCGACACTCCCTCTGCAGTCCATCTGCTCCTGGCCCAGATCCAGGGTCACAGGCTGGGCCAGGTGGCTGTGTGCCTTCCAGGGTGGCCCTGGCAGGCTTGGACATGACCCTGGGGCATCTCATGTCCTGGGGGCAGGAGAGGCCAGGGTGCTTCTAACACTTACCTGTTGGTCTGAGGCTACACTCTGCCAGGGGCCACCCCCAAATTCCCTTTAAAGTGAAGCCAAATCTCAGTGACAGGGCTGAGGCCAGGCTGGCCTCAGAGGGCAGCCACTAGCCCAATGCTGCGTGTTCTGTCTAAGCAGAGAGGAGCTTTGTACTGACCCTACTCTGGTGCTGGTCCTTTACTGGTCGTATAATCTCGGGTAAGTTACTTAACCTGTCTGAACCCTCAGTCTCCCCACCTGAAAAATGGGGGGTAAAAAAGTCTTCCTCAGATGCTAGCAAGGATTAAATAAGAGAATCACATAAACAGCAAAGTTTAATATGCATTGAAATCATGAGGATCTCTTTCAAATGTAGATTCTGATTCAGTGGGTCTAGGGTGGGGCCTGAGATCCTACATTTCTAACATCCCAGGTCATGCCAGGAGACGCTGCTGTCCATGGACCACTTTGAGTAGTAAGGACATAGAACACTCAACACATAGTTAATATTCAGAAAAAATAAAATAAATAAGATAAAATAAAATAAAAAAGAAAGCCACATTACCATCGTTACTACTATCATCATGACGGCCTCAGTGCTAAGAGTGCAGGAGCAGTTCCAGGGCCACCACCTGCCTGTCCAGGTGGCTCTCGTCCTTTATTACTCATCATCTCCTCTGCTCTTCCTTTCTCCTGGTTGTACTATCAAGATCTGGGGCTCCTGGGAGGGTGCCCAGGCCAAGACTGCCTTAAAGCCCTCCATTTTTCCTGTGTAGGAACTAATGAAAGTGCTTCCAGGACAGACGGATGGGGCCCCTGAAAAGAGACCTGGAATGAGGGGAACCGAAAGGAGACCATGGCCAATTCACTTCCACCCTGGGGCCTCAGTCTCCTTCCTCCTTGGAACCAAGTAGCTGCCTATGTGTTCTGTGTGGCTGACTGCTGGACCAGCGGCCGAGCCTTCAGTAGGCCAATGCCCACCCCTCTAGGTAACAGCTCACCAGTCTCAGCAACCAGGCGATTCACAGTGACCTTTAGGGACCCCAGCTCTGATCCCTGCCAGCATCCCCACTACCTGAATAGCTGGGGCCACACAGGACTGCTCCAGGGCCAAATTTTGAAGATCAAGGACACGTGGGATGTTTTTGCCCAGTGCACTTTGCACCAAGATTCTGAGAAGGATCCGCTCAATATGTGAAAGTCCCAAACCCAGGAGTAACCCTTGAACCATCTCTCCCCTTCCCCCTTGTGTCCCTGGCACGCATCCACAGCTCCCCAGACCCACCCTCCTCCCCTGGGCGCCTGCAGCAGCCTCCTAATCACTCGTCCTGCTTCCCAGCCCCTCTGTTCCATTCCAGGATCCAGATGGCAAAGGGATCTTTTCAAAATGCAAAGCGGATCACGTCAACCCCTGAGAGGGCAGCCTTGAAGCCGCGCTGGTCCTGTCTGCTGTCGCACACCCCTCTCCCTTCCTCCCCCCATTCCAGACTTGTAGGTTTCTGTCAGGTCCCTGGATACCATGCTCCCTCCCACTTGTTCTCACCCCCTCCCGGCCCTTCCCCTTCCCTGGTGAACCCCAGCTCATCCTTCAGCTTAGGTGTAACAGCCCAGGCTGGCTGGCGTTCCTCTGTTACAGCTCCTCAGAAAACCATGTTTATTTTCCCTTAGAGAACTTATCTCCGTGTATAATCACACACTGGTAAGTGTGCATTTCTCATTAACATCTATCTCTCCAGTGGACTGGGAGGTCCTCCAGGACAAGAACCAGGTTTTTGCTCGCGATGGTTTCCCCAGATCCCGGCACACACCAAATGGGTGTTTAATAAACCCCTGTTCACTGACCGAAGGAGTTGCTCCTGAGAACGAACAGAGCCGGGGAAATCCCAAACCGAAAGCAAACTCTCACGGGTTAAGAGCAGCCTTGGAGTGCTGGTTCCATCCCACCAGGCAGCAAGGGCTGCCCTGGCCCTGGGTGGCGGCTGGGTGCAAGCCATGGTGGGGTCCCAGGAGCTGCCTACTTGGTGGGCAGGGCCGATGGGTTCCCCGGTTCTGCTCTTGCACATCTGGCCGTTGTAAGGGGAGGATGGCGTTTTCTCCCTCTCCTCCAGTTTCACTCCACTCTGGCCCCTTGGCCACTCCCACCACGAGTCAGGACACACCCCCGGAGGTGCAGAGTTCAGGACCATCCCCCACTCCAAGCCCCACTCCAGAACAGCGGGGGATCTGGGAAGGGCACACCGACTCGGAAGCTAGAGACCAAGATGGAACGAATTCTGCATCTGCCACTGACAGGATTGGAGTCCCTGACCAAGTCACTTCATCTCGTTAAGGCTCAATTTTTTTCCACCTTAAGATGAGGATAGTAATCCCTCTTGAAGAAGATTGTTTGGAAGAGTAAATAAAACAACAAATGCAGAGTGAGTACCTCAGAAAGCGCTTTGCACATGGTGGGAGCGTCATAAATATTAGTTGAATAATAGACGAATGAAAGATATTTTAAAATAAATTTGGGAATCTCTTTTCCGGAGATGCTCTCTACCTTGCACGAATATTAGGTTTGAATGCATGCAAAATTAAGTTATGCCAATTAATCGATTGATTCATTCCATCATGTACACTTAGGAAGGAAGGCTTTTTGAAATTAAAATGCACATATGCAAAACAACCTGGCAGGGCCCTGGGAGGATCAAATGTGATAATGTATGAGAAAGTGCTTCGTAAACTGTGAAGCCCTGTACAAATGCTAGTTGTCCTCATTACTAACATGTTTACAGCTCTGTTGGCCCCGAAATCGCTGGCTTAACCTTAAAGAGAAAAGTGGGCAACTTTCCAGGACTCCAGGGCTAGGCCACAAAGTCCTCAGAGGAAGAGGCCTGGGCTGGGCAGCGCACACCCAACTCCCCCCTGCTCGTCCCCTCCCCCAATCTGTCACCACCAAACTTCAGTCCAGTCCACTCAACTATGGTGGGCTCAGGACATCTGCACCGGGAAAAGCTAGCTGGGCTTTTAATATCCACAAGGACATCTGCTGCCCTCGAGCGCCCAGGCCAGGGGCTACCAACGTGTGGACCCCAAAGAGCCGCAGGTCTCGCGGAAGAGTAAGCAGGCCAGGCAAAGGCTGAGGGAAAGCGAGGCACACGACCAGCCTATGGGGAGACAGCCATCACCCCAGTCCGGCAACCAATGGCATTCTGTAAACTCACTCTTGCCAGATCTAGCTGTTTTTTTCCATGAGAAGCCAAAACTCCAGATTTTTATGTGAAATTTCTTGATTCTTAAATATTGGCAACTCATTTTTTTTTAATGTTTAAAATACTACATGGGCCAAATCAAAAATGTGTGCAGGCTGTATGCAGCCTGCAGGGCACAGCTTTGGCAAGCAGACCTTCCGCTACCGTGCCCAGCCCAGGCCTCCTGGGACCCACTAAGCCCCGAGGTTCTAACCCTCAGGGGGATCCCAGCCAGCCCAGCAGAGGCTGCCCTGCTTTTGCCCAGGACTTACCCTCTTCTGCAGGGGCTCCCCGGCCATCCTTGGGGGTGCAGCAGCCATTCTCCACGGCTCTGGAGGCTTCGGGCGGGGTCTCAGCTGCACCCTCTCCCTCTGCTGGGGCCCCGCCCTTCTGCCCCCCAGCGGGGCTCCCCTCCTCTGGCTGGGGCTCACTCCGCTTCTCCAAGTCCCCGTTGGGTAACAGCTCTGAGGGGCCTGAGTCTTGGGCCATGGACGGGGACTTGGAGGTCACGGCGGGGTCCTTCGGCGTGTCACTGCTTTCCACCTGGAAAGATAAACGTGAGGGGAGAATTAGACCAGTGGTTTTAGCCCCTTTTGCATCACTGACCCATCTGAGATTCCGGTGAAAATTATACACCCGCTGTCCAGAAAACTGTGTGCACATAAATGTTTATGGAGTCAAATACACTCACAGTTGTTCTCTCAGATTCAAGGGGTTCACAGGCCTGACCCCCCGAAGTCAAGAGGTCTGTGGACTCCAGTTAAGAAAACGGGAGAAGAAACCGAGCAGGTTTAACAGCCTGGTCCCACTGCCAGCTGCGCCCCAGCCAGGCCATCCCCACTCACTGAGGTGACAGAGGGTGCCCAAGTCTTCTCTGTGGCCTCTACCGAAAACAGATGCTCCTCACACTATCCCTACTTCAAACCAGGACCCCTCCTCAGAAGATTCTAGTAACCCCGGGCTGATCTGACTTCTGTGCCAGAGCCCCCTGGCTGTCCTCTTGGTCTCTCGAGCTGCTGCCTGGCCAGGTGGAGTGTGAGGGTGAAAGAGGGCCTCCTCTGGGCCCCAAAGCCTAGCACAGGTCCCACCCTCAGCGTTGGCCCACAGCCTTCCCTGGGCGCTCAGACCCCAGGAGAGCCAAGGCCCCAGCCAGCAACCGCAGTCTCTGCAGCAACCCTCCCTGGCACGCGGCGCCACGTCCCCCCCAAGAGGAAGTGTCTTGCTTTGTTCCCAAGAGTCTCAGAACTGAGCTTGCTACAAGAATCACACTGAGCGCTGTCGTAACCGTCCTTCAGAAGTGTCACTGCATGGTGGGCAAAAGCTCCTCACCCCGTTACCCCTCAGAGCCGCTCGGCCTCCCTGGGGAGGCTCTCAGAGAATTTTGTGATCAGCTTGAGGCCACACACTTTGTGAGGACAGAGCGTGGCCAGCACTTGGTCCTTGGCCCTCTGGGGGCAGGTAGGCCAGGACATAGCAGAAGGAACGAAGGTGTCCTCTTGGGGCAGGAGAGACAAGAGTCCCCTATACTTGGCGCTCTGCCACATCCGCGGGCACCAGGCCGCCCCCAGCAGCCCTGCCCATCGGCTCCCCTGCAGATCAGCCGCCTGGAGAAGGGCGGGAGCGGCACCAGCTCAGCAAACACCTCAGGAAGGCGCCGCTCAAGAGGGCGCCTCAGCTTCCCCACCTGTAAGGTGAGATGACTAGGCTAGACCAATGGAGGGTTTCCTTCTTTTCAGGTTTTTTTTCTGTTTATAAAAGTCAGACACACATATTATAAAAACACAAACCACACAAAAGTGAGTAGTATTAAAAGGTTAGAGCTCCTATTTCACTTCTGTGCCTCCAGAATCACTCCCCACAGGCGAGCCGTTATTAACAGTTTGGGGCTTCCCTGGTGGCGCAGTGGTTGAGAATCCGCCTGCCAATGCAGGGGACACGGGTTCGAGCCCTGGTCCGGGAGGATCCCACATGCCGCGGAGCAACTAAGCCCGTGTGCCACAACTACCGAGCCTGCGCTCTGGAGCCTGCGTGCCGCAACTACTGAGCCTGCGTGCCGCAACTACTGAAGCCCGCGCGCTCTAGAGCCTGTGCTCGGCAACAAGAGGAGCCACTGCACTGAGAAGCCCGCGCACCGCAACGAAGAGTAGCCCCCGCTCGCCGCAACTTGAGAAAGCCTGCGCGCAGCAACGAAGACCCAGTGCAGCCAAAAACTAAATAAATAAATTTAAGAAAAGATTTTTTTAAATTGCTTGTTAACAGTTTGGCAAGTAGCTTTTCTCGACTTTTCTCCTCTGCATCTACAATCATGTGTAAGTTACATGTTTATACACATGCATTTATACACACATCCAGATCCAGGTTTTTTTTCCCCTAAGAAGGGATCATACGACTTATCGTTCTGCAACTTGCTTTTTCACTTAGCAAGCACCGCGGGCATCTCTCCATACCAGTGCGTGTGGATCGGGCTCATTCTGTCTCAGCTGCTCAGCATTCTATCGAACGGATGCTCCTTAATTTATTCAAACCATCTCCTAATGGTGGGCCTTTGGGCTGGTTTGCTTTCTCCTGCAGTGAACCCCTTGCACTTAACCGCTCTGCGCACCTGTGGATTTCTGTAGGCCAGAGTCCCAGAAGTGGACTGGCCGGGGGGAGAGGGCCTGCCCATCCACGTGTGAGTAGATCCTGCCAAATTCCCTCCAGAGAGTTGTATCCCTGAAGCACCCCCCAAAGCCTGAGAGAGCACTGGTTTCCCCAGGCCCTCCCTGCAAGGCCCGGCAGCCTCCAAGGCTGCTTCTGCTCCGAGGATCTACGATCTCAACTCTGAGCCCACTGCTGTATGGTGAGGAAACCCCCGAGGTGGCGAATAGGGACGTGGGCCTTGTTAAAAAATAACAAAAATAAAAACCAGCATCCTCCCTGGACGAGTCCCTACATGGAGCAGCTGAGGGCGAGCAGAGGGAACGCGCGGCCTTGCCGGGCTGCTCTCCTGGCCGTGTGGAGGGCTGTGTGGGACAGCTGGGGGCAGGCCTGCTTCCAGGAAGAAAACCTCCCGCAGAAAGCTACAAACGTGTGCGCGCCTCAGCAGCAGGGGTGGGGGGCCGCAGCAAGAGGAAGACGAGGCCTGTGGCCTCTGGCGGAAGGGAGAAGTCCTCCACTAGGGTTGGGCACTTGGGGCCGAAGCCGGCAGAGCCGGGAGGCCAAAGGCAGGATGGCCAGGGGAGCAGCCAGGCCCTGTCTCTCTCTTCAGCTGCCATCCCCAGGTGTCAGGACCCACACACCCTGTTCAGGACTCAGAAGGTCTTTCCCACCTCCCTGCTCAAGCTAGCAGGCTCCCTGGCCTAGAATTCCCCTCCCTGGATAAATCCTCTCATTGCTCGAGGCTCCTGTGTGTGTGAGAGTCGGGTGGCCCAGGCAACCCAGAGAGCCAGGCACGCCTGGGCCCCCACTGCTACCCTCAGGCCCGGCTGTGCCAGCGCCACAGAGCCCCAGACGCGGCGCTCCCAGGGAGGTGGGTAGGGGATCCCGCTGGCCAACGCAGGCTGAGAAGTTTGGGCCAGCGCCAATCTCTTACCATGGCCGTGGTCCTCCTTTCCTCTAGCCACTTGCTTCCCCAGACACCTCAAGTCGAGGCAGGCTCCCAGCTCCACAAACGGCTCAGACAACTCCGCTGTCACTCACTTCCTGCCCGGGGACCACACGGCCTCTTCTCACCCTGGGACTCACTTCCTGTTGACTGCCAGCTCCATAGCATAGAGACCCAGGAGTACCTGCTCCGAGACTCAACCCAGCCCCAGGGTCCCAACCCACCCGGATCGGGCACCCCTCCCAGGCCTGCCCTGGAGGACCCGTCTGCAGCATGAGACACGCCATCCTTCCCGAGGTGGGCGGATGAGCGGTAGGGGAGCACCCTGCACAGCTCCAGCCCCGGGGGTAGCTCAGCGGGCTGAAATCCACCCCAATCTCACGAGTCCTCTCCCTCCTTTCCTCCCGACCAGCCCATCGCCCATTGCCCACCCTCTCTGGTCGTGGATGACCCTGAGTTGACCAAAGCTCTGGGCTTAGGGGTGCTGCCGACTCTTGCCACGGTCAACCCTTGATCCATCTTACCCATCAAGAACCCCACACACACACGGCCAGTAGTGGCCCCTCACTGGCCCTCTCTCTGGAGTTCAGGGTAACTGGGCAGGTCAAATCCACCCAGAAGAAACCACTGAGAGGAAGGAAGGAGGTCCACAGGCAAATGGACTGACGCAACTCTAAATCTCCAGGGAGGAGCCGGGTGCTCCCTAAAAGGGCATCTCAGGTGAGAAGAGCAGACCTGGAAGCCACTAGGAGTGGCCACCCCAGCCAGGCCTGTGCCCTCCTTTCCCCCCACCCCCCACTAGCTTGTCGCCTCCTAGAGGCAGGGACTCGCTTTATTACGTTAGACTGGGCGCGGAGCAGGGCACCTGGCAGGTGTTCAGTAGTCATGATTGATACCTTAATGCCAAAGACCAGGTTACGAGCGAGAGCATCCAGTTCACACGTCTAGAGGGAGTTTCAACTTTGTTCATGTCAAGCGTAACTGTTAAAAATCCTGTTTCTGTTTGCTTTTATTCTTTACAGTTGCCTTGAAAGGAGACACGGCACACCCTGAGACACTCATTGTTCCCATGGCGGGGAGGGGTAGCAGCAGAAGCCCCTGGTCCCTGTAGAAGGCACCGCCAGCAGCTAGAGGTAACAATTTGCACTCCCCTTCTTCTCACCTATGGGGTACGGGAAGAGGGCGGGAGTGGAGGCAGAATGGGAATGGCAGCCACGGGCCCCCTCACTTCTCCTCCCTGGGGTGGTGGACACAACGGATCACGCAGAGTCTGTTCCCACCGTGCGCCTAACCCCGCCCAGGGCCCACCTCCCGGGGCCCCTCAGAGTTTGCCGATCTTTGCCTTCCTTCCAGGCAAGACCCCTCCACCCCAGGGAAATGCCTCCTGCTTCTCTGTTGCCCACCCGCTCCTCGGGCCCCTCCTGCGAGCAGCTCATCCCAAGCAGTGAAGGCAGTGGTTCCCCGCAGAGGACATCTGGCAACGTGTCTGAGACGCTTTGGGTCACCTCACTGTGGGTTGGGGGGACAGACAGTGGCTTCTGGTGGGGAGGGGACAGCCCTCACCACAAAAATTACGCAGCCCCGAACGTGGATGGTGCTGTTGTTGAAAAGCCCTGGGCTGAGGACGGGGGCGCGGACCAGGGACTTTTTCTAGGGACCATTTTTTTAAAACAAAAAAAAATTTTGGTAAAATATATGCAACATAAAACCCACCATTTTAGCCATTCTCAAGTGTACAATTCAATGAAATTAAGTACATTCACACTGTTGTACAACCATTAACACTGTCCATCTTGAAAACTTTTTCATCATCCCAAACTGAAACTCTTGTACCCATTAAACAAAATTCCCCATCCCCCCACCCCCCAAGTCCCTGGCAACCACTATTCTACTTTCTGTCTTCTAAGGAACATTTTAAAATCTGTCTGTCTGTCTCTCACACACACCACCCCGGGTGGTATTTGTGCCAGGCCCTGGTCTTTGGAACCCTCAGCCTTGCCCCCAACACCCCCAAAGCCCCTGTGGAGCCTGGCCCTTAAGTTCACCCCAGCATTCACTCACATCCCCTAGCCCACCGCATACCACATTTGTTTACAAAGCACTTTCACACCCTATCTCATTAGAGCACTCCTCACATGTTACCTAATTATTTGTTTACTGTGTGTCTCCCTCCTAGACTGTGAGCTTTGCCTTATTTAACTTTTTATTTCTCTTCCTTCCAACCACTCCACTGACAGCTCCCCAGTGCTAAGCAGAGGACTCGGCATAACTATGCTTATACAATCGATCGACTTAATTATCCCAATTATCCTGATGGGTTGGTGTTACTCTCACTTTTCCAAGGAAAACGTCTCCAAGGTCTGCCTCAGGTCACACGCCTTCTAAGTGGTAAAGCTTCCAAAATGACCCAGGTACAGGAGAGGCATTTGAAAGCTAGCCACCCCCTCTGGGTTGAGTCTCAGGAAAAGCCCAACCTCAAATCCCAAGGGATCCAAGGAGGGAAAAGGAGGCTTTGATGTGCCTGAGCAGGGCCAGGGAAAGGCTGCAGCTGTTTCCCAGGCAGCAGCCACCACAGGGAAAGGCCAGAGGCAAAGCCAGAAGTGAACCTGTCCAGGCCAAAGCCAGTCCCCCAGCTGCCCACCCTGCCCCCTTCCCCTCCCCCTTTGCTGGAAGTCTGGACCAGACCCCAGAACTCCAACCCTCCCTCAGGAAGGGAGGCCTTGTCTCCCAAGGTGGGGCAGAATGCCGGGGCTCCAAATAGGAAAGGGATTTTGAGGCCTGTTTGACAGGTATGATACCTGCACACGAAAGCTAAGAGGCGAGGGAAATGATACAAGGGAGACAGGTCCCTGGGTCAGCTCTCCAGCACAGCCCCGGGCGCAGGCTTACCTGGGCCCAGGTGTGGAGGGGGGAGACCTGGGACCCTGTGTCTACCACTGGAAGGCCCTGGAGGTCGGAGCCACGTTCTGGCCTGGTTCTGGGCACCTGACTCACCCTCTCCTCCTGTGCCAGGAGCTGCTGCTGAAAGGGGCCTTTGCCCCCAGACCCCAGGGGAGCTCCGGCAGGGGGAGGCCCAGAGGCTGGCAGATGTGGGATGGCCTCACCTCGCCCTCCCCAGCCTTCCTGCCCTCCCTCCTACCCCCTCATCGCCATTGTGCCTTTAAGGCACTTGGAACACTCAGCTCTATGCCAGCCGGGGACCCTGGCGTCTGGCCAGCTATGGCCTCTTGATTAAAGACACACAGAGACGCAATCACATGCACAGACACACAAGGGGTTCACCATGGCCCAGAGAAACCCGCTCACCAGCCGCAGAGACGTGCTCAGATGCCCCAGAGTGATGTCAACAAAAACACACCAACAATCCCCCTCCACTCGCACCCTCCGTTCACTCCAGTCCCTCGCAGACCCTTCAGCTCGCCGCCAACGCCCTGGATTTTCCCAAGTTGACTCTCGTTTCAGGAAACAGCCAAACCGTCCATGTAAATGGGGCAGCCCTGTCCCCTAAGCATTGGCACTGGGCCCGGGCTCCCCAGTCTCCTCTGCCCCAGGCCTTCCTGCAGCCCCTTCCCCTGGCAGCCCTCTGCTCTGATCGGCCAGAAGTGGCCTTGAGGCAGGGAGAGCCAGAGAGTTCCCCCACGCCCACTCCCAAGAGAGGCCCACATGCCTCCCTGCTCAGCCTTCCTGGGGTGAATGGAGTCGGACCCCAAGACTTTGGAACCAGGACCTTGACCCTTCCAATTTCCTTTTCTCTAGTGGAGTGGCCAAAAGGGCCACCAGTGGGGTCAAGGGACAGAAGGACCAGAGGCAAAAGAGGGCCAACTCTGGCAAGTCTGACCCCAGCTTGGGTATGACTTCTAGGTGCCACCATTTCTGTCACCACTGAGGCTGGGAGCTTCCTTCCCACCCTCCTCCCCAGAGATCTCTCCAGCGTGTGTGTGTGTGTGTGTGTGTGTGTGTGTGTGTGTGTGTGTGTGTGTGTGTGTGTGTGTGTGTGTGTTTAAGAAAGAGAGAGAGAGAGAGAGAGAAGAGGGACTCAGGACTGAGGAGAGAACTTCAGGGTGTGGCGAAGTCTTAGAGGTCACTCAGTCGGGGCCCCTGCTAGCTGTGACAAATGGATGCAAGAACTAGCATGCCTGGTGAGTGGCGGCCCATCTGGGGTTCTACTTCCAGCAGGGACACCTGTCCACCTGGAAGAGGGCCTGACTGTGCTCTTTGAAGTCAACCTCAAAGGATTTCAGGGTGAGCTGGAGCCTCCCTTGAAAAAGCCATTATGTAGAGAAGATCCAGGTCGTATTTAAGTAAACCTCTTTCGCAGTTTTCTTCTGTTCTCAACCTCTACGTCCAGGCCTAGGGTGACAGGCTGGGTGAGAAGGGAACTCAGCATGGAAAATGGTGCTTTCCTGTCTATGCTTCACGAACCTTTCTAAAGTTTCTGATGTGTGTCTCCCCACCCCCGCCCACCCCCGCTGGGGCAATGCTCATCCTGCCCCACCCTACGGCGTGACTTCATAGCTTTAATCACAGCCCCTCTCAGCTTCATCTCTCCAGATTGGAGAGCCGTAAGCTCTCTTGTCTGTCCTCACTTGGCTGCCCTGCCTTCCCCTTCATCGATGTAGCTGCCCTTTCCTGGAGCTTTTCCATCTCTGTATATCTTTCTTGAGGTGGCAGGACTGAAAAGCACAAAATTCTCTAGGTGAGGATGATGAAAGAAGGCCGACGTCAATAACTGCCCAGATGTGTGTGCGGAAGGTCCCTGCAGCAGCGGGAGTGGGGCAGGTGCAGCTCGGGCTCCGGAGACGCCCACGGGGTCCTAGGAAGCCCACGGGGCTCGGGACCGGAGGGAATGAACCCCTCTTGCTGGAGAGGGCCTGGAACATGTGGCTCTGGGGAAGGGACCGGGGAGGGCTGAAAATAAACAGGGGTTTTTGGAAAAACAAAATGGAGAGTCTGGGATTTCACTCAGATGCTCCCCCGATAAGACCAGATAAGTAGATCAGCCTCTGGAAAGGGCCCCTGCCAAACCTGCTCCCTTCCAGAAGGCTCCATCTCTGACAATACCACTGCCACTGGCCCTGGGGGCTGGCAGCACCTTCCTCCCTCTCCCTGGTCCGCAGCCCAGCACTGCAGGCCCTGCCAGTTCTCTCCCATCACGGCCGCCCCCCAACAGGCTCTGGGGGCAATTTTTGGCCCCAATGTGCCCCATCCTATCTCTCTGCATTCTCTTGTGCTCAACCCATCATGCTCACGGATGCCAGAGTGAGCTTCCCAAAACATGACGCCCATCACTTCACACCTCCCACCGTCTCAAAAATCCTCCAGATAAACACAGCACATTTTTGAGAGGATAAAATATAAACCCTCGGGCTGCCTGCAAACTACCTCTCCACCCAAGATCAAAGGTGTTCGTAAACGAAACCCTCGTCCACTCAGCCAAGCCAGTCCGCGCACGGTCCGGCCTCCCCCAAGCACGCCCGTCCCCGCGCACACTCGTCCCTGCATACGCTGCTCAGGAAGGTCCTAGGTGGGGAAACCTCCCACTTTCCCCGGCCACACGTCACCTCCCTTCGAAGGCCCAAGTCCAGCCCCTCCCGCCAATGTCTTCGGCACTTCAGGTCCAGACCACGGGCCAGGCTCTTGGGGTACTGGATGGCTCTGTGAGCGCTGGTTTGACATGATCAGCTGGGGGAATGAGCAGAGGAGTCTGCACGGCACAGTTACAAGGAAAGTCTCTAACCTCGCGAGATGTCTGACAGCCCTGTTTTCCCCACACCTTCGAAAGCATGACGACACAGGGCAACGGGCAGCAGCGGGCCCACGCAGGCTCACAGGCAGGGATGCCCCGTGAGGGGCCGGGGCCCAGGAATGGGAGATACCCTTTCAGGAAGTTTCGTGCATAAAAACAAGGGGCACCAAGTCACCGAGTCAAGGTTCCAGGGGTTAGTGAAGGAGCCCTTCTAACCCGGACACAAAGAGGGGATTTGATTTCTGTCTTAAGAATCAAACGGTCATATTAGGTGGGAAAATGAGCCGATACTGCAAAGGCCCAATAACTGAGGGAAACGATACTCGGCTGGCTTAAGCTGCAGTGGAACGGTCCCCCGGCTTCACACAGCTTACAGCACAAGTCTTTCGCTTTGAAGTGGAGCCGTTTGGCCCTCAGGAACTCACTCACGCAGGCGTTATGATGGAGGCCCAGCCTCCAGCGAGGAGCGAGGAGTGAGCTACGCGGCAGCGGGTCTGGCTGAGCTCGGTGCCTGCTCCCAGCCCCCTCTCCCCCTCCTCCCCTCCCCCTCCCCCCCTTTCTGGGTTATTCTTAGCAAGAGGTGACCTCAGAGTGCTCCCACTGAGCAAAAATAACCCTGGAGGAAGTTGATGAATATAAATTTTCAATGAATAAGTGCATATACCTAGTAAACAGGGCGGGGAGCCCTGAAGGGCCGGCCCCCACCCCAGGGTCTGGCGGGCAAGGGCAGATACTGTCCCTCCTGGAGCCCCAGCGGTAACCAGCACATAGGACAAAGGCGCTCGCAGGGCAGGCTGGGTCTGTGAGCAGGCAGGAACCAGCTTCGGACACCCTCACTTGTTACTCGGCAACGTCCTCGGAGCCGGTGAACAGGAAGATGCCTCTTCCTCCCAGCCGACGCTCACACCCACACACAGGCCCACACTCTCTGGCCAGCAGAGACCAGCCCTGCAGGCTGCCGTCCCGTCCTCTGGTCGCGGGTACTGGCCAGCCAGCAGGCCCTGCACCCAGGTGCCAGCTCCCTTTCTAGGCTCCGCCCAGCCCTGAGGCCGGCTTCCTGTTTCCTGTTGCTGCTCCGGCTGCGAGCATCCTGGCTCTGAGGCCAGTGCCACAGACCAACACTGCCGCCCGGTTGAAATGGGCCCACTGCTCACTCCTCAGACCGCCGCAGCCTTCCCCACTTACCCGCAGACTCCCTGGTATTTGGGTCAATTGCCCTGCTCAGTTCTGTTTTCTCTGGATGCTTTTTGGACCAGGTCTACACGCTTTTTCAAACAGCCCTGCATTCATATGTTATCTTAAAGCGAATGTGGGATACCCAGTCTTCCAGATGGTGTGGCCGTAGTGGCAAGGGGGAATGAGCACCGTGGGCTCTGCAGTCGGGAGGTGTGGAGTCCAAGTCCAGATCGTCCTCTCTGAACCTCAGTCTCTTCATCTGAATGTGGGGATGGTAATGCCAGCGGCCTCCACCTACCCGACACAGGTTTGTCGCTGGCATCAGATGAGGTCACGGTGCAGAAAGCCCTCGCTGGCAACCGACTGCTGCACCACTCTGAGCCTTTCTTCGTGGTCGCTGACCTCAGTGAGTGGGTAGACAGTGCAATGGGGGTGCCTCTAAATGGCAGATCTGGTGGAAGAGGCAAGGCCTCTCCACCAGCTTTTCTGTGTGAAAAGCCAGGCTTTGGTTTAGGTTTTTTAAGTTCCCAATCCACCAGGAAATGGTACTTTTGTAAAACACGAAATCATGACTGTGGATGTGGCGACAGTATCAAATTGATATGAAGGTTTCTAAAGGCTGATTCCCAAGTTCTGTACAGACAGATAGCAAAACAGTTCGCAGACTGGTGCTTCGCAGTCAGGTGTGTGGACCAAAGCCCGGGATTGGTGGGCTGATATCGTCTTACTTCTTAGTGTTCATTTTAATTTCACGGTCAGTTCAAAAGGGAGAGCCAGCGTGGGTCACGATGGCTGCACTGGGCTTCATTTGCAAGACAGGCCTTGGTGGGCTGTGATACCGGGCAGGTAGAGAGAAGGGAGGGCTGCGATACCGGGCAGGTAGAGAGAAGGGAGGGCTGCAGAACAGCTTACGAGGCAGCGGGACGAGCGTGCTTGGGGTGATCAGGGAGCAGCGAAGAGGCGGGGTTTCCTTGGCAAAAGAGGTGGCCGCTGAGCAGCAGTGCAGAGGCAGGAGGGGTCACATGGTGGAGGCAAATGGAGGGCTCCAGGTCTCGTCCCATGAGAAGAAAGCGCCTAGAGATTCTTGAAAGCGACGTGCCCCGGGCCGTGTTTAGTTAATTACGTGGGGCCTCCCCTCTGGCACACTAGGTTGAAATAAGTCTTATTTATTTGGCAGGTGCTCGGTACGTGTAATGTGCTTGTCACCGAAAAAGAGAGGGCCGGGGGTTCTAGAGAGATGCTGGGGGCAGGTGGGGCCTGATCTGGGTGAGGGCGCAGCCAGGAGGCTGACACAGGAGCAGGGGAAAGTGGAAGGCACTCAGGGACAGGCAGGCCTCGGGGGAAATTCTGGAGACGATTTCACAGCCTCAGGCCGGGGGATGGTGAGGACACCACTGGATGCACCTCGTCCCTCCCCGTCCAGCAGTGCATATGCAACATTTGCACAAATGTTTGCACTCCCAGCACTGCTCCCTCTGTTCCACCTGCCAGGATTTGAGCCAAGCCCACCCGCCCACCCCGTTTCCAGGCTTAGCTCGATGACACACACTCAGCTGCTTTAAAGCTCCCTGGTCAATCTGTTCCCAGGGCCACAGCTGCGCCAGGTCCCCAGAAGCCCTCCCTGCTGTGCTCCTCGGCTGGGGAGGGGCGGAGGCCTGGGCCAGCACCTGCTCCACAAGTGAACCAGGTGGCCCGAGGCCCAGGAGACCGTGGGCTGGCCCTGAGCTGCAGCACGAACTTCCCCCACGTGGGCTCCCTTGGGGTCCACGGGCCTGCTGCCGGGGAAGACCTGCTGGCTGTTCTCTGTTCCCCTCTACATGCAAGGCGTCCCTTTCACGACAGCTGCCTCAGCCCCATGCCTCCCCACGCACTCTCTCCCTTCCCAGGGCCTCACTTAGGACTGGACCACATCCACACTGACCTGCATGGGATGCGCACCGCTGCCCACTGGAGCTGCTGAGAGGCCGACGCCAGGCTCCCACCCGAAAGGCCTTGCAGACCCCTGGCCCACTGGCCCCTCCGGGGGTGGGGATGCCGGTTTATGACGCTGCTGGCCCTGTGCATTTGGAGCCCACTTTGCTGTTTGCACAGCACCCCTGGAGGTGGACAGGGCAGGTATTACCGGTAGCCGTATTTTACCAATGAGGAAGCAAAAGTTCAGAGAGGTTCAGTAACTTGCTAAGGTCACACAGCTGGGAAGCAGTAAATCCAGGGCTGCTGCTTCTGTCTCGGGTAAGGGCAGGACCGACCTTTGCTGACCACTGGCTCTTTGGTGTTTTAACCCATTTAATTCTCACAGGGGTCTAGGAGGAATGCATTTTTATCATCTCTATTTTTCAGAACGGGAACCCAAGCTTCAGGCAGTGACTTGTTCAATGTCACACAGGTGGTCTGTGGTGGAGCTGGGATTTAAACCCAGTTCTGCTGGATTTTAAAGACAGTGCTTTTCCCTCCATGCTGGGCACTGTTCCAGGCCAGGGGTGTATGACCCACTGGGCCGTGCCCCTCTTCCCTCTCATTGTCCACCTCTGGACGCACTTCCACACTTACCCCTGATTTCCCTGCACCCTCTGATCCTGGGGCCCCACCCCAGCTCTCAGTGACGTGCCCTCCCTTTGGTTCCAGGGACTCACAAGTGTGAGTCCAAGGGCTGCCAGGTCCCATTTGCTACAGGTGGTGGCTCCCATCCCCAGCACCCGAGCCAGGGAAAGGCGGGGTTTGCTCTGCAGATCTCGAGCGCACGTGCAGCTCAGATTCGGAATGACAGGTGGGCTCTGACTCAGCCTGCACCGTGCCCCTCCACCTTCTCCCGCCAGGTGCCCTGTGAGGGCGGGGAGGAGAGTGGAGGGACCCCCGGGGAATCTAGGAGTGCGGCCTGGAGTCCGCTGCAAGCTGAAAATTCCTTTGAAGTCCCGTTTTATCTTTCAACTGCATGTGAATTTTTCATTCCAGGCCATAAAATATCCATGTCTGCTTTAATATTGAAGTGTTTAAAATTACTTACCAGTTAAATGACTTAGCTTCTTCCCCCCTCCCCTCCAAATCTCCAAGCAGAAGTGGCAGTGGTGCACTTCAGTGCCCTGCAGATTCCCAGAGCTCCCAACTCCAAGAACCCCCCTCACCTCCAGCTGGTGCCGCCCGCCCTCCCTCCCTCCGCCGCCCCTTTCACTGCAGCCGCGTTCACCCTGCTCTCTGCCCCAAGGAGGAAAATCCTGCCCCGCTGAGAACATTTCCTTGAAGGGCTGAGTTACAAATGCGGGGCTCCTGGCTTCTCTTTACCTTCTTGCTCCAAGTTCCCCGTTCTCAGCTGGAAGGGACGAAAAGAAAGGAACCAGCTGTGGCTGCAGCTGGCAGATAACTATTGTTCTGCCTCTGAGTTTAAGGCATAAGGAAGGCACGTTCCTGCCGCCCACGGGCCTTGCCCTCCGGAGCACGCCTCATCTTGGGCAACCCCAGAGTCCCCCCCACCCCGATTCAGAGGCAATGGCACCCGGAAGCCCGGGGTCTACACTTCCACTGGACTTACACAGCGCCCAGCCCTCCTCCTCTCTTAACAGCCTGCATCTCTTCCCTACTCACTTTGATCGGACTTCCAGACCTCAGTTCCCTTCCTCCAAGTTCTCCAGGTGGGGCTGAGGCCCAAGGTGGGTGTCTGGATGGGGAGGGAGGGGCCCATGCAGGCAGGCTAGGGAAAAACAAGTCCCACTCTCTTGCTGCCCTTCCAGAAAGAAGCTGAGAGTCAGGGGCCTGATTCAAGTCCCACAAGACCCACAGCGCAAGTCCCCTGGCCTCTAGGGGCCTCCAGTTCGATGCAGAAAATAGGGAAGTTTGGGGGTGGTTTTGGGGATCCCGTGAATGGGGAATGGAATTGGGCTCTACAGCTGGAGGGGTACACTCCATGCCCCAGTCTTGGCGTGCCCAGATCCCTGCGGGACACATCACTGGCATTTACAGTGTGCATGTGCGCGTGCGTGCGTATGTACGCGTGCATGTTAGCGTTGTGTGCATGTGCGCGCATGCGCGTGCGTGCTGTTAGCGTGTGTGCGTATGCGTGTGTGCGCCTGCGCGCGCACCTGGGCTGGGGGGACGCCACCTCACTCACCGGAGGGTGCTTGCGCTTCCTCCCGGGCCGCCCCACCTTCCGGGCAGTTGTGCTGGGCTCCTGCCGCTCCTCCTTGCCACGAGCCTCCTCCTGCTCCTCTCCCTCCTGTGGGCACAGACACAGCCTGTAAAGCCAGGGCTGGACCCCAGAGCCCTCCCCAGTGTCCCACCCGCAGGGCAGCCACACTTCCAGGGTTGTGCCACGCTGGTCCCCCTGGCAGGGATGGTCTTCACCCGCTTTCTGACTGGCAGAGCTGGGCCACCCCTGAGGGCCGAGTCAACTTTACCCTCAGGGGACTTCAGAGCCGCCCCGCTGCCCCAGCAGAACGCAGCTCTCCCTTGGGTGGACACGTTCTCTGAACCACAGAATCATAACACATGCTCTGACAAAGAATTTGTTTCTGGATATGAGTTTATTTATATGAAAAAAATCTAAAACAAGTACAAAAATGATTAATGCCGTATTTAATGAATCACCTTTATTGAAGAGAATAAAATCACAGGAAGAGAAGCATGACATGTAGCGATGTCTACTGGAAGTACACGCAACCCTTGGAAGGAGGCGTACCACAGACCATGGAGGGCATTACAGCCCCTGTACATACACCTGCCCTGAAGCAGCTGCCACATCGCGTAGGCACTGCATGTGCCTGTTACCCCGCGGGAGCATCTCAGGGACCGTGTCTTGGTTCATCGTGATGCCCGTCCTTCGCTGAATTTTGGACCAGAGTTTGGTTTTGTTACCACCCTTCACCTGGCACATGCCAGGGCCGAGCCCTGCAATGCTTGTCTCGTGGGGCAGACACATAAACCTAGAAAGTCCTCCTGCCTCACTGCTCCAGCCTGGCCACAAACCACCCACAAGCTGCTTCTGACTCAGCCGGCTCCAGCATGACTAATCATGAGCAAAAACTGTGCTGGGGAAGGAGAGAGAAAGGGACCCTGACCCAGCAGAGGCCCCTCAGGCTGCCTGCCATTCGTGCCCTGCATGACGTCAGCAGCCACAGACATCTTCACAGTCCTCCCAGGGGAGGGCGCCAGCCCAGAGCCATGCTGGTGCCACAGAAAAGGGGAGGTGCATGGGTTCCCAGGGGATTGAATCGAGGTGGCCCTCAATGTCCCACTCAACTTTCATTTTTTGTGATTTCAAAATAGCTTGTGGTTTGCCACATTAATTTTCAGGTGATGGTGGGACATGCAGATGGAAACCTACTGCGACCCGTCACAGACATGAGACCGATGGGAAGAGTGGCACTGGCCCGCTCTGTCCATCCATCCATTCAAGGCACATCTGGGACAGACCTGCCCAGGAAGGAGATTTAGGAGGGAGATTTAGCATTGCAGCTGAGAGTCCGGGAGCCCTCCGAGGACATATGGGTGGAAGATGACAGAGGCCCCAGGCCTTAGCACTGAGGGGAGACTCCAGTCAAGTTGCAGGAGGTGGAGAGAGTGTTCAGAGGAGCAGAAAGGGGACGCCGGTGTATTGTGGGTACAAGAAAAAAGGGAGTTGCCAACCCAAGAGGCAAAGACGACAGATGCAAAGAAGTCGAGCGCAGAGAGATTTGGTTAGAGGTGGAAATGGTCAGCCTCAGAGGGAAGCTGTGCAGAATGACACGGCAATGAGGACCAAGGGGCCGGAGAGACAGTTTAAGGAACCCAGCCGAGAAAGGTCTGGAAAAGAAGACAAGGACAGGGAGCCTAGTGCCGGCTGTGGACAGGAGGTGAGGGTCCAGGGTGGTGAGAGAAAGGCTGCCCCAGGACCAGAGACCCTTGAGAGGCTCTTTTCAGGAAAACATGGCAGAGAAACTGTGAGGGCAGAAAGGCCGAGGTGGGGGACAGCCAAGTGGCAGGGAGGCCTCCATGACAGCTCTGTGGGCCTGGACTGGAGGGGGGCCCAGGGCCACATGCCCCATGGTAAGCCAGGCCTGCTGGTGCTGGGCTGTCTTCTGAGACCCTACAGACACCCCCATTTAAGAAACAATCACTTGGATCACACAGAGAGAAAATATTACCAATGCAGCTTAACGTTGGTGAAAGTTCCAACTGAATCTACCCAAGTATAGTGAACTTCAGCTGAGGTGGTGCTTTTGGTCAGGTTACACCACGGCTAAAAGGGCGCCGTCTTGATCGTGCCGACCAGGTAACTCGGCATTTACAACACATCTGGAGGCCACGCAAGGTTGTGGAAAGGCATGGGGCTTAACGCAAAGCAAAATGGGTATGAGCCCGGCTTGGCCATGTGCTAGTTCCAGGACTGTTCTCTCTGAAACTCAGTTTCCTCATCCAT